TAGACTTCTCTTCCGGAGCGTCCGAACTTCTCCCTGTCCCGACCCAAGGCAGGACTTGGAGGAGATCAGGGTTTGAAGCACAGCGGAATCTAGCACCCACCCACCGCGTACTCCCCTCCGAAGCCCTGCTTTTGTTCCTCACAGCGGGATTCAACCCCACGTTCGGCCCAGCCTGGGTGTCCCTCTATGGCTCTCCCCCGAGTGGGGGACTCCGGGATGGTCTTCAGAGTCTCAACGAAGGCCTCGGCCAAGGCCTTTGGTTCCGCGGCAGACTCCTGGTGGCTGTGTCCACGGAGGTGTTCGAAGGCAGGGCCGGATCGGAGCCACCCCAGGCCCCACAAGGGTCCACTTTGTCCAGGCTCATCGGAAAAAAGAAGAAAGCCAGGCGGGGCCAGGCCACGGCCGGGATTCCACAGAAGCACGGAGATGCCGGTCCCAGTGGAGATGGGCCTGAAATTCCTACTAGCATGGAGGTGGAGGTGGAGGAATTGCTGCCTCTGCCGGAGGTGGGGGCTGGAGGCTCTCTCAGCTCTGGAGGGTGTGATCTATTCCCAGGCCTAAAACTCCATGGCGAGTGTGTGTGTGTGTGTGTGTGTGTGCACGCGCGTGAATTTTGCTACCTGGGCGGAAAAGTGCACTGTACAGTGAGGAGTGTACTAGGGGGAGGGAGACTGACCAGCCAGAGAAGCCTAAGTATCCGGGCTGCAACCGTCAGAGATTGGGGGTAGGATGCCTGCAGTGACCTCTGGGGTTTGGTTACTAGACTTCCTCTGGGTGTTGTGGCCAAGGTTAGTCCAGGCTTCTCCCTGGGAGCTGGGAGAGTCCAGTGTGACTCCGTTCCACAGAATGCCCTTGCACCCTGCGAAGATTTCCTGCTTTTCTGTGTACTCTTCGAGGCCACCATGATCGATCCTGCTGTAGCCTCGCAGCCCATCAGCTTCGAGATTTCCATTGGTGTGTGGCTTAGCCTAGCCTCGGGGGGTGGTGAATTGGAGAGTGGCTACTCTTGTTTCAGACTTTAGGCCCCTGGAAGAGGGTGGATTCTGACTTCAGTTGAGGCAGAAGCAGTCAAGGGAGGAGTCTGACTCGCAGCCTCCTGACTCGCTCTCCTGGGCTAGGTCATGCAGGACGCTGGGAGGAGCAGCGGCACAGGGCTGGGGAGGGAACTACAGGCTCCTTGGGGGAGGTGCAGCCTCTGCTGGAGTCTGAAGATGTGGAGGCCCAGCTGGAGGAGGAGGAGGAGCAGCTGGGAACCCCGGCCCAGCCACCTGAACCTGTGGATGGCAGTGGGTAAGTGTTCCTGGTGACTGGATGAAGGGTGTTGGGAGGTCCCCAGGCGCCCAGGATGACCCCAAAACCTCTGTTCCTCTCCATCTGTCCCAGCCCTTACTTCTGCTTGCCTCTGCGTCATCGCAAGCCCTGCGTACATGTGTGGAGCCGATGGGAGGATTACACATGGCGCCTGCAGAGCAGCAACTGTGTGTGCAAAGTGGCTGAGAGGCTGGTGAGGGCAAGACTGGTGCCCACCAGGAGAGGCTGGGTCATCGGACTCTGGGGTGACTTTGGCCTTGGAAGGAAGCCCTTATTGGTGTGGGGGCAGAGGGTTGTGGACAAGGAGCACAGCTTCTGGGCAATCTGTGGGGCTGAATTTGGGGAAGGACAGACTCAGAATTGTTGACCCAGGAAGAATCTGGGTGATGGAGCCAGGTAGACCTACTGAGCATGGCACCCCACAGGGGTGGTGCTCCAAGGAGACTAGAAAAGTGGAACCATAAATCCAGTGGAGCCAAAGGGCTGGCCTAGAGGTGCTGTGGGGAACAGGTGGGGCCAGCTGGACTCTGACCCTCTCCTGGTGTTCAGGACCAGGGGCTGCAGGAGGTTGAGAAGATGCAGCGCAAGCCAGGGCTGGGCCCCTGTCTGCGGCTCAAGCAGGCCCTGGAAGAGCTGGTGGCTGGGAGCAGGTAAGCTGAGATCCAGACCCTCCAGCGGCTTTCACCCCGTCAGCTGCTGAGTAGTGAGGCAGACTCCTGGGGGCTGTCTGGACTCAAGGGGGCTCTGAACCTCAACACTTTACAGAAGAGTAAGAAGGAGATGATTGTCCCTGTCCATGGAGTTTGATGGAAAGTAGTGAGTTAGGCTGCTCCCAGATCCTTAGGTGCCTTTGTTGACGTCTACCTCCCATAAACTCCCTTCCTCTCGTCCCCTTCTCGGAGGAAACTGAAGCCTCACTTCTCGGACCAAGTCTGCTACCTGGTCCACTTCCACGTCCATCTGCTCTCCTCTCCTTGCTGCATACAGGCAGTGCCCCTCCCGGCAGCACAGCTGTGATCTTGGTTTCGCCTCCTCTCACCTCCTGGAGGAATTAGCTCTGCCCTTGTCCACTTATCGCTTGCATCCTCAGCTGGTCCTTACTTACCGGTGATTATCAGGTTATTGCCGTAACCACACAAACATGTTCTTCTTGCTTCCATCTTTGACCTTCACTGCCCTGCATTCCATAACCTGCTCCAGGCACTTTAAGTCCCTTTCTGATACTCTTCTCAAAAGAGTTATTTGCCTACTTATCCATCAAATATTTAGGATATTTTGTTATGGTAGACACTGTTTTAGGGACCATGATAGCAGTGAGAAAACATTCCAGCCCACAAAAATCCCTGAAGCTTACATTCCTGTAGGAGATAGGAGAAGAGACCCAGGTAATAAACGTGTAAATAGAGGCAGAAGTATACTATGCAGGATAAGGATAAGTGTTGATGGAGGAAATAAATCAAGGATGCATTAGAAAGAGGCACTGCAATTTTATGTAGGGTAAGAGGGGAGGCCAGGTCCAGGAATTTAGCTCATTGGTTCCATCGCCTGTCTCACAAGTGCAAGGATCCGAGTTCAATCCCCGGTACCAAAAAAGAGGGGAGGCCACTGTGAAGGTGATGTGAAGAAGATGAAGAACAAGTCGTGTCTGTGAGGGTGTTCCACACAGAGGTATTGGCACGTGCAAAGGCCCTGAGGTAACAGCATAGTGGTGTGTTTGGGGAAGACCAGGGGGACCAGTGTGACTGCAGCAGTGTGAGAGAGTAGAAGAGGCTGGAGGAGGGTGAGGGAAAGGAGGGTCCTGGGAGAGGCAGATCAGGGAGTCTCATAGGCCATTATAGTGACCTTGGCTGCTTCTCTGAGTGACATAGGGAGCCACTGAGGTTTTTGGAAAGAAGAGATATGCTCGAGTGTATGCTCATCCTTTGAGGCTAGGTGGGGTAGTGGTGGTGTAAGGGAGGAATGAGGGGGATTGCTAAAGTCAGCCTTGTAGTAATCCAGGTGAGGGATGGTGATGAATCTAGCCTAGGGTGGTCACAGTGGACATGGTTTATCAGGACTGGATTCGTGAGAAGCTGTGGCCTTGGAGGTGACGCCTCGGAACTGGCTGATGGCCAGGCCTACACAGGGGAGGACAGACATGTGCAAAGAAGAGCAGAGGATGATTCCTGAGACTTTGGCTTGCACAGCTGTGTTGATGGAGGGAAGGTCTGAAGGAGGGGTCGGAAGCTCAGTTCAGACTTGTTAACTCGGAGACATCCGTTAGACTTAGAGGTCAGCCGACGAATTGAGTTCTGGAGACAGCTTTAGGCTGGAAATGCAAATCTGGAGCTGACGTTATGTGGATGAGACTGGGTAAGATCATCCTGGGAGCAGAGAAAGGTCTGAGGACCTGGAGAGCTCCAGCATGTAAGGCGGGGCGGACGAGGGGGCCCAGCCAAGCCCTCCAGTCAGCAGGGACAGTGGGCAGCAGGCTGTGCGTGGTCACTTTTCTGCTGCCGTTTGCTCACCTTCAGCGTCAGTGGACACAGTGGAGCCTCCCTCCTCCCGTAACACTCGCTGCTGGTTTCCCTGGCCCCGTGCGCAGCCGGCTTCCTCTTTCTCATCTCCTTTGCTGCCCGCCCCCTGCTTCCTCGACTCTGAACGTCCCCAAGGCCATGTGTGAAAGTCCCACAGCTTCCCTGCCAGGCTCTCTTCTCTGCTCCATCCCCAGAGTCTCCAGTGCTTTAATCTTTTTAATCTTTAACCTCCATGCTTCCTCAAAAATAAGGCTTTGTCTTGCATTAGTTTTTGCTCCAAAAGACACAGTAGGACTTATTTCTAGGGGATGTCTTATTTTTTCATGTACAACACAGTACATTTATCCAGATACAGTCATGTCATCCTCTGGAACATCATCATAACTCTTTAAACCCTGAGTTCCAACCTGAATTTCTTGTGACTCTATTTCCTGTCAAAGCATTGGTCCAAATCTCTCATGTCCAGCAATAGAGCTGCCTTTCAATGAGCGCTTCTTGTCTTGAAGATCATAGTGCATTGGCAACACAGCTGTCAGTGATTTTACCCATGAATTCTTCACCCAAGTCACAACCTCTTTCAGGCTAGGCTTTACAAATTTTCTATTAAATCAAGTGTTAACTGAAGACTTAGGCAACAGAAATGGCAGTAAAAAGGATGACGGTTAAGAATGATGACTTTCACATTGCAGGCACCAAAATTCATGAAATGTTTATTTCACATGAAAGCATTAAGTACATCCACTATAAAAACATGACATATGGAATTATGAAGATTCATATTAGGCACAGTCACATCTGTTCATTATCAAGTATGTATATCGTTTGTGTACTATGTCTGTGTTCCAATTGGTCATTTGGCAATAAGTGTTAAGTATCTATTTACCCAGGCATTTACTTCTTATCCAAAGGTGCCTGCTTGGGTATTTACAAATACTTAGTTGTAATTTATATTGTCAGGGCCAGAGATTTAGCTCAGTGGCACTGCACCTGCCTGGCAAGCACAAGGTCCTAAGATTGATTCCCGGTACAAAAAAATAATGTTATTATTTGCTTCAACAATGTCAACTATACTATTTATATTTAAGTACATGTTAATATCATCATTTTAGTCAGTGTCTCCATTGTGTGTTGCAACAAACATACTACATGTGTCTGCCTGGCTTTTTTTCCTGGCTGACAATCTTTTTTTTTATGGTACCAGGAATGGAACTTAAGACCTTGTGTTTGCCAGGCAGGCGAGGCATCACTGAGCTAGATCCCTGGCCACATGGCTGACGATCTTAACTGGGGATTATTTTTGGAGTAGGGCTTACATTATAAGTATTCTGAAAAATCCAGGATTTATTTTCTGGTTAGGTCTTATTTTTAGGAAAATACAGTAGCATAATTCCTTGCTTTACTTTTTTTCTTTTTTTTTTGAGACAGAGTCTCTCTACGTACGTAGTTCAGGCAGGCCTCGAACTCAGCCAATTCTTCTGCCTCAGCCTCCCCAATGCTGGGATTACAGGCCTGCACCACCATACCCCCCCTATTTGATTTTTTTTTTTTTTTTTTTTGGTTTTTTGACACAGGGTCTCACTATGTAGTTGAGACTGACCTGGAACTCACTATGTCGCCCAGGCTGGTCTTGAACTCACAGCGATCCTCCTGCCTCAGCCTCCCAAGTGCTGAGATTATAGGCGTGCGTCACCATGCCCAGCCCCTATTTGATTTTCTATACAGCACAATTAAACTATTTCTATTTTCATTTTACTAAAATTACTCTTTGTCAGGGAAATTTCAGTGAAATCTACATAACATGTCACTGTTTGTAGTTTTAGTATATGTGCTGCTGAAGTGAGCACACTATTTCTAGCTTTAGACAGTCTAGTTTTCTTCTAAGGCAATTATTTCTGCTTTACCTAAGTTCCCTGAATCCAATTTTGAATTTCATACTTGTCAAGAAGATTTGATTCTTCTGTCAAATTTAATCAATAGCAAATATTGTAAGTGCATTTTGAGCCCTGGTCTGTTTTATTTGATACTGATTAGCATATGAGAGAGTATTAGTAAGGCAAAAGTGTAATCTCTGCGGGGAGGAGTGTTTGGTTAAACAATCCTCATAGAGCCGGAGATGTAGCTCAGTGGTAGAGCCCTTGCCTAGCATATGTGAGCTTGTGGGTTCATTTGCCAGCACTAGAAGAAACAAAACAAAGAAAAACAGCATAAAAATCCTTGGAGTCATTTACTTTTTAAAATTTCTATAGTAAAAAGTTTAAAAGTTAAAAGTCATTTGCAGTTGAAATAGACCTAAAATATCCTAACTCAAAAACCATTTTACTTTACCCAGCGTCTAGTCGATGCTAGGCCCTGTTGATATAGGGTACAGTGGGAATCAAAGTGGAGTCCCAACCCTCGCTTACTCTCAATTCAGAGGACAGATAAAGCAGAGTATGTGAGGACAGAGAAGTTACCAGGAGCTGTGAGAAGGCTGCTGGGGAAAGTGACGTTGGAACAGAGACCTGAGTAAAGGAGTGAGCCATGCTAATGTCTAGGGCAGGACACTTTAGGTTGAGGAGCAGCTAGCTAGCAAAGGCCCTGGGGTGAGCAGAGAACAATTACAGGGCTGTTGTTATCATCTTAGGTGAGAAACGATGGTGAGCTTAGACGAGCGTGGTTTTGGAGAAAGAGAGGATGAAACAGCAGCAAAAGATGAGTCTTGAAATTTTGGGGGTGGGGGGGTACTGGGGCTCAAACTCCAATCCTCACTTTTACAAAGCAGGCGGTGTCACCACTGAGCTAAATCCCCAGCCCTCGGCTATGTTTTAGTCAGCTTGGTGGAGGCTAAACCACAGATGATCTCTGACTTAAATAGGCATAGGAATTTCCCAGGGTGCAAACCTGTAGTTCTGATGATGCAGGAGGCCTGGTGTTGGGCTTCATTTCTAATTAGCAAACTGGTGATACCAACCAAGTAGCCAGGGGAGTAGATACTAATTATTGGCGTGCTCTGGGACCCAAAAGGGAGGCTGCCCTTGATGAATTTGGGTGTGGTTTGAGTACAAAAGACTACCCTCAGCAGAGGAGGGGGCCTTTCCTGAGAACAAGACTGCCAGGTCTGTACGGAGACTGGGGCTGGGAAACCTGCTCCAAGGGAAGTGACCCCAGGGGTCTACACGCTTTCCTGCCATTTCCTTTGACTCCTCCCTTGTTTCTCGCCTGCTCCTCACAGACAGTTTTGCCGCAGTGCTGAGTGCAGGACTATGACCCGGCCCAATGCCCTGGATAGAAGCCGAGCGAAAATGCTGACGCACAGCCTGGTACTAGGTGGAGAGTGGGAGGAAAGCAAGGACACCTAGCTAGGACCCTCCACTCACTCATGGTCTCTTGCCTTCCCAGAACGTGTTGGCAAAACAAGGACTTCGGCTTTTACGAGGGCTGAAGCAAAGCAACATGCAAAAGAAGGTAGCACTGGCCAAGAAACTCCTGGCAAAGCTGCGTTTTCTGGCTCAGGAGGTAATGGCTCCCAGCTCATTTCTGTACCCTGTCTTCCTTTCCCCCTGAGCTTTTGGACCACCCCAGAGGCCTCTGGCAGGTGGATGTGACACTTGCCCTTTGGCCTGATATCATTGCTTGGATCCTTGGACCAAACTCCACATAGAGCAATTGAGGGAGAGGAATAGAAAGAGTGCTAAGGTCTACCAGGGATCCAGGGAATCCTCAAGATCTCTTTAGGGGTGAACATCTGAGGATAAATTCCCTTAGGGAATTTTTGACCTTCCTGTTCAGAAGCTGGAAAGAAGTTACACAAAGGTGAAGGAGTCTGTGGTTTGGAAATGTGTTCTCTGCTAAGTATCTGTATGTGTTACCTTGTGATCCTTCCAACTTCTTTGGGAAGAGTTTACCCCATTTGACAAGAGCAGTAATGGAGGTATAGAGGAGAGTGCCATGGTATGTAGATCAGCAACAGAGCTGCAATTCCAAGGCAGTTGGATACTGGTCTTGGAACTCAAAGGACAAGTTAGAATTTGGAAAATGAAGAAGAATGTGTAGTATGTACAAATGCCCAGAATTGGGAGGCCTAGACAGGCAGAAGTCAAAGGGTTTGAAGAACAGATAGGATAGAGCTCTCACGATGTAGTTCAGACTGGCCTTGAATAGCCCAGGCTGGCCTCAAACTTGAGGTGATCCTCTTGCTTCAGCCTCCTGAGTGCTGAGATGATAGGTATACACCACCATGCCTGACTAGAGACCTTATTATGTTGAATTTTAGTGTAAAATTGTTTGTGTATGTGTGTGCAAGTGTATTGTGGATCAAACCCAGACCCTTGCTCATGCTAAGTATGCACGCTCCCACTGAGCTACACCCCTAGCCTTTTTTTTGAGACACGATCTCCCTATGCAGTTCAGGCTGGTTTTGAACTCACTATGTACCTCAGGCTGGCCTCAAACTTGCACTGATCCTCTTGTCTAAGCCTCTGAGTGCTAGGATCATAGGTGTGTACAACACCCAAAATACTCCTCTCCTCTAATGCCAGTGGTAAAGAAGCTGAGATAGGAAAGATGCCATCAGTTAGAGGCCAGCCTGGGCTACATAGTGAGTTCAAAAGCAGTCTGAACTATTTAGCAAGATCTGTTTCAAAAAATCTAAAATTAATTAATGAGAACCTCCTTTTGTCAGTTGACATTTAAAATATTTTATGAAGCCAGGTATAGTGGGACACAGTTGTAATCCCAGTACTCAGGGAGGCTGAAGCAGGGAGATCTTAAGTTTGAGCCTAGCCTGGACAATTTAGTGACTTACTGAAACCCTGTCTCAAAGTAGAAAGTTAAAGAAAGAAGACATAGAGATTGGGACTGGGGATTTAGCTCAGTGGTTTCACCACCTGCCTTGCAAGCGCAAGGGCCTAAGTTTGATCCCTGGAACCAAAAAAAAAAAAAAGTAGAGATGCAGCTCAGTGCAAAGGTGCTGGATTCAATCCCCAGTACAAAAAAAAAAGACATAAATCTGCATCTTGGAATAGCATAATTTTGCTGTTTCTCAAACTTCTTTTTTTTTGGGGGGGGTATTGGGGATCGAACTCAGATCCTTGCACTTGTGAGGCAGGTGGCGGAACCATTGAGCTAAATCCCTGGCTCAAGCTTCTTTTAAACTTAATATTGTTTGTGATATTTATCTGGATTGTTACATGGAGCTGTAAATTGTTTTTGTCGTTGTGTACTATTTCATTGTGTGAATATACTGCAGTTTACCTGTCCATTGTACTGGTGGTGGATATGTAAACTGTCCCAGTGGTTGGTCATTAGAAACAATGCTTCCAAGGACATTTTGGTCCACTTCCTGGTGTGCAAAAGCTGGTTCTCGAATGGTTCTGAAATGTTTTGTTCTGTTGGGGGTTTAGCTCAGTGATTCTGCCACCTGCCTCACAAGTGCAAGGACCCGAGTTCAATCCCTGGTACCAAAAAGAAAATTTCCTGACTGAAATGTATTGTTCTGAAGACTCCTTTACATCATTAATAATTGTTGCTGATCCCAAAGAACTTTTGCTTATGTACTAATATTTACCATTCTATGAAATAAAAGTGGAAAAATTAAAACTTTAGAAATAAAAAATGATGGGCCAGGGATTTAGCTCAGTGGTTCCGCTGCCTGCTTCGCAAGCACAAGGACCTGAGTTTGATGCCCGGTACAAAAAAATAAAAAAAGAAATAAAAAATGATTAATTCATTTAAAATAACAAGAGTAAACCCATTGTATATTAACATAAATGACATAGTTTCATGAACAATAAATATATTCTCCAAAACAAAAAATTTAGTGAGAAGAGTAGCATTACTTTACATTCTTTTGCAAATATCTGGTAAGGAACTTTTTGTTTGATTTCTTGTTTTTGTTTTTCTTTTGTTTTTTGGGGATGGGGGTACCAGGGATCGAACTTAGGACCTTGCAAGGCAGGCAGAGGCACCACTGAGCTAAATCCCTGGCTCCTTCTTGTTTAATTTCTGTTATTTCCAGTTTTAAGTGTTTGCTGAAATGGCCTGTCTTTCAACTTCTGTGTGATTTTCCCCTATATCCTTTAGAATTCTTATTTTATTTGATTGTTTATCATGGTGCTGGGAGCCAGGTGTGGTGATGCATGCCTGTAATCAATCCTAGCACTAAGGAGTCAGAGGCAGGGGGATGGCCATGAGTTCAAGGCCAGCCTGAGGTACACAGTGAGCTCAAGGGACGGGGGTTAGCTCAGTGGTGCTGCCGCCTGCTTTACAAGCATAATAAGGTCCCAAGTTCGATCCCCAGTACCAGAGGGGGGAAAAAAAGAAAAGAAAAGAAAAGAAACACAGTGATCTCAAGGCCAGCCTGAACTACTGTATATAGCAAAACCTGGCCTCAGAAAACCTAAATGAATAAATAAAGTGGTGCTGGGGAATCAAACCCAGAGCCTCACATATGCTAGGCAAGCAGGCAAGTTCTTTACTACTAAGCTACATCTCCAGCCATATCATTTTGTTTTGCAATAATGATGAGTGAACTCAGGGCCTTTGCGCTGAGCTACGTTCCCAGCTCTTCATTTAATATTTTATTTTTAGATAGGGGACCTTGTTAAATTGCCTGGGCTAGACTCAAACTTCTGCCTCTGACTTCCAGAGTGCTGGGATTCCAGGTGTGCACTGGGTGTGCACACCCAGTCCTATCATAGTTACTTTAATGTTCCTGTTTCATAATCCTAATATCTGGGTTTCTATGTATCTACTTGTACTGATTACTGTGCACATGAATCGCAATTCTCACTTTCCTGTGTCTTGTAATTTTTTATTATATGTCTAGATTTTTGTACAAAAGTACAGTAGAAACTGAAATAAATAATGTGCATCTCCAGAAAATATTGTTCTCACACCCTGTGACGAGGGAGGAGTCATTATGCTCTGTAAGTGAACTGAGTTTTGCTGTGGACTTGATTTGTTTCAGTTCACCTCTATTTTCAAATATTTCAAGGGTGGGATCTAAACTCTCCTTTCATCCATGTCTAGAATGGAGAACTGGAAGATTCCAGAAATCTGCTTCTTGTTCTAACCCAAACTGCCAACATTCTGACTATGAGTGAGCTCTCCCTGTTTCATAGACAACTTGCTAGGTTTGAAGGGCGGTGGTGAATTTACTTTGCTCTTTAATTCTCCCTCCTTTCTACAGTGCCTTGGAATATACAGTATGTTTCAATCCTGCTTTCCTAGAATGTTTCATGGTTTTGATTGTTATGAGTAAGATGTCCTGAACATTTGTGTATAAGTCATTCTGTGGACGTGTGCTTTCACTTCTCTTGGGTCAATACATAGAAGTGAAATTGTTGGATGATAGGATGTCTCTATGTTTAAATTTATAATCATCTGCCAGATAATTTTTTGAAGCAATTGCTATACTATTGGTCTTTTAAGTTTTAGATATTTTTTTGGTACCAGGGATGGAACTCAGGACCTTGTGCTTGCAAGGCAGGTGCAGTGCCATTGCACTAAATCCCCATCCCAAAGTTTTAGATATTTTGATAAGTATATCATGGTAATTCATTGTAGTTTTAACTCAGGTTTCCTTGGTGGCCAGTGATGTTGAGCTCTTGGTATGCTTATTTGCCTTTCATATATCTTTGTACAGTGTTTTTCTTTTTCTTTCTTTCTTTCTTTCTTTTTTTTTTCCGTACTGGGGATCGAACTCTGTACAGTCTTTTCCATAGTTTTGCCAATCTAAAGACTGACTTGTTTTAAATTCTTAAATTGTAAGTTGGGGATTTACCTCTGTGGTGCTTTGCCTACCTCACAAGCACAAGGTCCTCAGTTCAATCCCTGGTACCAGAAAAAAAAAATTTTAAATTGTATATGTTTTAAAAAGATTTTCACCTGGGTGTGGTGGTGCATGCCTGAAATTCCAGCACTCTGGAGGCTGAGGCAGGAGGATTGCTGTGAGTTTGAAGCCAGCCTGGGGTACATAGTGAGTTCAAGGCCAGCCTGAACTATATAGCAAGAACCAGTCTCAAAAACATTTTTTGGGGGGGGCCAGGGATTTAGCTCAATGTTTCTGCTGCCTGCCTCACAAGCTCAAGGACCCAAGTTCAATCCCTGGTACCCCCTCCCAATATATCCCCCTGGTCATTTATGATAAATACTAGTCACTTATCAGATATTTATTTTACACATGTTTTCTTCTAGTCTGTGGCTTACCTGTTCATTTTCTTTAATGGATTTTGTTTTGTTTTGTTGGTACTGGAGATTGAACTCAAAACCTTGTACTTGCCAGGCAGGTGCCAGCACCATTGAGCTAAGTCTCCAGCTCTGACTTGTTTTTTTTGTTGTTGCTTTGTTTTTCCTGGTACTGGAACTCAGGATCTTGAATTTCTTTCTTTCTTTCTTTTTTTTAGTTTTAAAAATAATTTTTGTTTTTTAACATTTGTATTACAAGAAACAAAAACACAAGCAAAGACCAAAGTCATTCGCAATCATAAGCAGCTTAGTTGGATGTGTTCTTTTAGGCTGGGATCTTTTTCTTTTGAGGCAGGTGTGGTGCCACTCAGCTAAATCCCCAGCCCTGTTCATTTTCTTAATGGTGCTTTTTGGTGAGCAAAATTTAGTTTTAATGACATGTAATTTATCTAATTTTTCTTATGTCAGCTTTCTGATAGCTGTGTAAGAAATGTTTTCCTATTTCCAGCCCACAAACATGGATTGTCTGGTTTCTTAAATTAAAGATCAGGGCTGGGGATTTAGCTCAGTGGTTCTGCTGCCTCTCTCGAAAGCGCAAGGTCCTGAATTCAATCCTCAGTACCCTCCCCCCAAATATATATCTCAGAAGTCCCTCTATTGAATTTTTCATTTCAATCATTTCACTTTTTATTTCTATAAGGCCTAATTTTTCCTACAGCTACTGTTACTTTTCAGTTTCCTGTTCTCAGTAAGATTTGTCTTTCATTTTATTTAGTTTTGTTTACACATGGTAGACAGTTTGATTAGTTGTTTTTCTCTTTATTTCTTTTTCTTCTTTTTCCCCCACCAGGGGTTGACCTCAGGACCTTGTGCTTGTGAAGAAGGCACAGTACCACTGAGCTAAATCCCCAGCCTGCTTAGCTGGTTTTGACTAAGAGCTATTCATTGTATTTCTTTAAAAAATCATTTGTGGGGCTGGGGATGTAGCTCCATGATAGAGTGCTTGCCTAACATGCCTGAGGTTCTGGGATCCATTCCTGTAAAGAAAGAAAAAAAAATCTTTTGAATTCTGGAAGGTACATTTTTCTAGAAATCACTTAACTTTGCTTCTGCCTTCTGTGATAAACTAAAATTTGATATTTAGCAACACTCAAACACAGGAAAAAATTAGCTTATGGTTATTCTTTGCAGGAACAATTTCCATCCCTCACCATTTCACTTAGCCAGGCAACTTACTGTACCAAAGGTTTTGTTTGTTTGTTTGTTTGTTTGCTTTCCTCTAAAAGTTTATGGTTTTACATTTTATATTTAGGCCTCTGTTCTCAGGCTAATTTTTGTTTGAGGGACATAAGAATCAATATGAATATCCAGATCTTCCAGTACCATTTTTTTTAGACTTCAGACTTTGAGTTTTAGGTGGCCTGTGGGGCATCCAGGAGGAGATTTCAGAGAGTGGTGACCACATGGAGATGGGGTCCAGGGGAGGTCAGAGATAGGGACGGATAGTAGGTCCATCTGTCTCACCCAAGCTGTAGGAGTGGAGCACATGACCTAGCTCAACTCCATGGGTGACCTCTACTTCTCTACCCACAGCCCCAGCCACCCCTTCCCGATGTACTGGTTTGGATGCTCAGTGGTCGGCGCCGTGTGGCCTGTGCGCGGATCCCTGCCCAGGATGTGCTGTTCTCTGTGGTTGAGGAGGAGCGTGGCCGAGACTGTGGGAAGATCCAGAGTCTGCTGCTCACAGTGAGGGGGGCCTGGGTGAGGGTGCTGGGAGAGTGGGGCGAGGTTCACAGGGCATGGCTGGGCTTCAGGGGTAGAGGCTTATGGTTCCCAACTGGGGCTTCCCAGTTCTTTTCAATTAGCCAAAAAAGCCAAAAGAAGCTGTGGTTTTGCTCAGGTCAGGTTGGGAGGGAGATAAACAGCAAAGTGGTTAGCCCTTGGCCTGCACTGGCCTTTCTGCTGACGGCTTGGCACATGGGCAGGACCATGAAAAGGGAAATAATTAGGTATCTACCTGTAGAGCTGTTTTGCAGGCAAAATATTTCTAAATGAGATTCACTAAAGATACTAAAAGGGATCTCCAGGGGAGAGAAGCTGTGACCCTCGGGATCAGGAGCAGGGAATGTAAAGTGTTGGGAATGGAGGAGACCAGACAGGAGGGAAAAGGTCAGAGTGTAGTTTTAGTGCTGTGGGCATAGGAAGTGACAGGGTTAGAGCAGGACGTATAGGGGACAGAGTCAGGGATGAAGGGCATGAAGAGGGTTGCATGGTGGAGGCAGAGAGACTGTCCTTTGTATCGGGGAGCTTGGGTGTGACCCGACAATAACGGGTACACCTTGGGGCAGCACAGCGTTGGTTCTAGCTGGGCTAAGAATAGGAGGATTTGGGCCCCAGCGTGCCTTCTTCCCACACAGGCACCTGGGGCAGCCCCGGGGGAGGCCTGCGCTAAGCTGGAGCTCTTCCTGTGGCTGGGGTTGGGCAAGCAAGCCAAGGCCTGCACCTCCGAGCTGCCCCCAGACCTGCTACCTGAGCCCTCGGCCGGGCTGCCCCACAGCCTGTACCGGGACGGTAAGCATGGAGGGTGAGCGGTGTGGGCACAGCCTCCCTTGCTACTTGCCCACAGTGGGTGCTCATGAGTCAGGGGACCTAAGCAGTCCTCTGAGTAAGCTCGGCCCCTGCTCTTCCCTCTCTCCAGATTTTAGTTACTTCCAGCTCCGGGCTCACCTGTACCAGGCCCGAGGTGTGTTGTCAGCAGATGACAGTGGCCTCTCGGACCCCTTTGCTCGAGTAATCATCTCTACCCAGTGCCAGACCACACGGGTGAGGGTCGTGAGTGAAGGAGCTGGAAGACGAAGTGGGACGCTTCCTCTCGAGGCCTTCAGTCCCTCTGCTCACCCAGGGTTTTGAAGACAGGCTCCTGGGGGACACTGCTCTGACATAGGGGGTGGTGGCGAACCAGAGGTCTTGGCAGGAGTGGTTTCCTGAGTTAACTTTCGGACTAGGCTCTGAGGGTGGCAGATTACATTTGAGAAATGGAAGGGCAGCCCCAACCCGACTGCAGTTGCTCGCTTCTTCATCTCTTGACACTCTTGTGACAGGAAGCTGTTGGGAGTAACCAGAGCAGGGCTGCTGGCCTGACCTCGTGTGGGGAGTCGCTTCTGACACCAGCTGCTGCTCCCTTCTCTGCATCGTCCACAGGTTCTGGAGCAGACGCTGAGCCCCCTTTGGGATGAGCTCTTGGTGTTTGACCAGCTAATCGTGGACGGGAGGCGGGAGCTCTTGCAGCAGGAGCCTCCACTAGTGATCATCAACGTCTTTGATCACAATAAGTTTGTGAGTGTGGCTTGACCACAGCCAGGTTCCAGGCCGGCACCCCCCATCCTTGATACCCCCTCCTTTGGCTCCCTTTTGTCTTCACTGCCCTGCTCTGCACAGGGCCCCGCTGTGTTCCTGGGCAGGGCGCTGGCCGCCCCAAGGGTGAAGCTGACGGAGGACCCATACCAGTGCCCCGAGCTGCAGTTCTTTCCCCTGAAGAAGGGACTGCGGGCAGCCGGAGAGCTTATTGCCACCTTTGAACTTATTGAGCTGGACTACAGTGGCCGACTGGAGGTAGAGGCTGTGGGCCCTTCTTGTTACTCGTCAGGCTCCCATCCTCCCTGAGCATGGCTGTTTCCTGAGGACCCGCCCACACCGTCCACGGACATCTCCAGTCCAGCCTTGCCTGGTTCCTCTTTGACCTCTGACCTCTTTTCCCCTGCAGCCCTCAGTGCCCAGGGATGTAGAGCCCCAGGATCTGACAGCCCTGGCTGAGCCCCTCTCGGGACGCCTGTCCCTGCCACCCAGTGTGCGCCCGGTGCTCAGGGAGTTCCGTGTTGAGGTAGTGCCAGGCACTCTGAGCCCCTCATTTCTTGCATGGGGTGGCCCTCTTTCAGGTGTGGACCCCTGAGTCCCCCATTTCCTAATTCCCTAGATGCTGTTCTGGGGACTGAGGGGCCTTGGTCGTGTGCACCTGTTTGAGGTGGAGCAGCCTCAAGTTGTGCTGGAAGTGGCCGGAAAACGTGTGGAGTCTGAGGTCCTGGCCAGCTACCATGACAGCCCCAATTTCACTGAGCTCGTCAGGCATCTGACAGTGGTGAGGCATGGGCTGGGGGCAAGGCATGGGCGGGGGGCAAGGCATGCTGGGCAGGAAGTAGAAGAAGGAAGTGGATGGTGAATTTCTAGCGGCTAAGACTCTGTAAAGGCTTCGTGGGCCACAGTCTCAGTTGAAGCTATTCAACCCTGCCACTATAGCATGGATACAGCCACAGAAAATAAGTAAATGATGAGGATGAACATGTACAGGTGACACTTTATTTAGAAAAACTGGCAGAGGTCTGGGCGTGGTGTAACCCCAGTGTTCTGGGAGGCTGAAGCAGGAGGATTCCAAGTTCTAGCCCAGCCTGGGCAATCTTTTTTTTGAGACAGGGTCTCATTATATTGTCGAGACTGACGGAACTCACCATGTAGCCCCACTAAAATATTCTTATAATAAGTATATATGCCAATGTAAGATATGATTGTTTTCTCTCTCTCTCTTTTTTTTTTTTTTTTTTTTTTTTTTGGTACTGGGGATCAAATGCAGGTCCTTGTTCTTGAGAGACAGGAAGCAGAACCACTGAGCTAAATCCCTGGCCCCAATGTAAGATATGAATAGAGGGGAAAGTGGAGAAATTTATGGGAACTCTTTTTTCTTTTTTTGGTACCAGAGATCAAACTCTGTTCCTTGAGCTTGCAAGGCAGGAGGTGGAACCACTGAGCCAAATCCCAGCCCCAGCCTGGGCCATTTAATGAGACCCTGTCTCAAAATGAAAAATTGAAAAATGGCTAGAGATGTAGCTCAGTGTGAACACCCAGAATTCAATCCCTAGTAACACACACACACACACACACACACACACACACCAAAACCAAAACAAACCAAAACCCAACAGTGAGCCAGACTTGGCCCATGATCTCTGTGCTACTCTGTGGCCTCTTGGTTCTACTGAGTGAATGGAACGGACATTTGTCCTGAAGGATGAGCTCGGAATCTACCTCATCTCTGAGGCACTGAGGGCTGAGAAGAAAATTATACCATGTAACTTGTAATTACTGTTTCATAGTCAGATTTTGACAGTGCTACAGGATCTCATCAAATCGCCCGTATCATTTTAGCTTCAGTTTTTTCTGTGAACCATGGGGGTAGTAGGCACAAAAGAAAAAATGCTGGAAGATATACACCAGGTGCCTTTTTCAGGAGTGGTGTGAGGACCCAGTGACAGAAAGGCTTGGGTAATGGCTTTGTAAACTGAAGTGTCTTGTGACTTTGCAAGACTGCAACTGGAGCAAAGCACAGTAGTTCCAGACTGCTGGACAGGGGACAAAAATCAATCAAATGAAAAACCTCCCTCACTGTCTCATGACTCTTATTTCACATGCAGGAGTTTTCAGTTTGAAAAAAATTATTTTTTATGGTTCAGGGGATTAAACCTAAGACCTTCACATGGAGCTATACCCTGGGCCCTTAAATTTTATTTTCTTTCAAGATAGTGTATCATTAAGTAGATACATTGCCATCCTCCTGCCTCAGCCTCCCAGAGTGAGGAGTAATTACAGGCATGTGCCATCATGCCTGCATCTCAGCTTGTTTTAAGGTGATGAAATTGAACTTCGAGAGGGTGTGTCTTAGCCCATTCTAGCTGCCATATCAAATACTATAGACAGTTGATAAACAACAGAAATTTATTGCTCATAGTTCTACAGGTTGAGAAATTCAAGATTAAGGTCCCACAAATTTGGTGTCTTGTGAGTGTCAGTTCCTTATAAATAGCACCTTTGATATGTCCCCTATGAGGGAAGGGCAGATTCCCTTGGGACTTTTTTTTTTGGTACTGGGGATTGAACTCAGGTTATTGTGCTTGCGAGGTAGGCAGTGGAACCACTGAGCTAAATCCCAGCCCCTAGTTTTTTCTTTTTAATAAGAGCATGAATCTCATTTGGGAGGCTCTGCCCTCATGAACTAGTTATCCTTCACAGACCCTATCTTAATACCACATGAATTTTGGGGGAAGCACATACGTTCAGACCCAAGCAAGGTGTTTTCTGTCATTGCTCACTTTGTGGTACAAATCAGAGAGCACACAGCCGTTTCTCCATGGTGTACTCTGAAAGGGCACTCGTGTTGAGTGCATCCCATAGATAACATGAGGTTAAATTGCTTGCTAGTGTCATTCAAACCCTTAACTGTTTTCTGTCTAGTTGTTTTCCCCAATGTTGAGAACAGGGTATGGAAGTCTTCAGCTTTATTGTTGTCTGTTTTCTGTTTCTCCCTTCACCTCTGTTACTGTGTGTGTGTGTGTGTGTGTGTGTGTGTGTGTGGTGTGCTGAGGATGGAACCCAGCGCGTGTGCTAAGCTCCAAAGTACTTGTGTATCATTTGATACTTAGAACAATCTTTTGAGCCTGCGTTTTGTTTCTTTTTTAGCTGGGACTCAGAGTCAGAAAGCCAAGACTCAGTGGAGGCAGCACAGTGAGGCAGAGGCAGTGCTAGGCCCACAATGGTGTTTACATGTATTGTTTTCCCACCTGCCTCTGCCATCTTTGTAGACACAGTTCCTCTTTCCCTACCTCTAGGCCTTGCCAGAGCAGCCTTACCTGCAGCCCCCTCTCAGCATCTTGGTGATTGAGCACCGGGCCTTTGGTCGCACAGTCCTTGTGGGTTCCCACATTGTGCCCCACATGCTGCGATTCACCCTCCAGGGAAATGAGGATCCCCCTGAGGAGGAAGGAGCAGAGGAGGAGACAGAGGACTCGGAGCCCAGGCGACCTCAAGGTTAAAGGCCTTTCCCTTAGGGGCTACCAGACGGAAGTCCCTCTGGTTCTCGGGGACCTCTCAGTGGGGCGGGAGTCTGACTTCTAACCGCCTGCCCTCATCATGCCATTTTTGCTCCCAGGACCAAAGTCTTTGGAGCCCTTCTCGGCTGAGGCTGGGATATCCAGACGGCTCCTGAAGGTAACGCTGTGTGCGAGAAGGGCGGAGAAGAGATTGGGGCTTGGGGTGGTGCTGGGTCGGGGGGACAGAGTCTTCCCACTGCAGGCTCCATTGAAGAAGCTCAGCCTAGGAGGCCTCCTGAGTCCCTGTCCAGAGCTGGAGGAGGACACCCCGGATCCTGAAGAGCTCGACTGGTGGTCCAAGTACTATGCATCCCTGCAGGAGCTGCAGGCGCAGGTGAGGCACAGGACAATCCGGGGGGTGGTACGAGAAGAAACGGCAAGAAGAATGATCTTGTCATGTGTGGAGTGCTATAATTTTACAGAGCTCTTTACCACAATCATCTTTTCTCTATCACAATTTTAGTAGCTGGAGATGATTAGCTCCATTATCCAGGCCTCTGCCGTGTAACAGAAATATAATGCAAACCACGTGTCATTTTAACTTTTTTCGTAGCCACATGAAAAAAAAAATAAGTAAAAGGAAACAGGAGAAATTAATTTAATAATGTGTTTTGTTTGCTACAATATAGTGAAACATTTCTACAAATAATCACCATTAAAATTAACAATGAGGTATCTTACATTCTTATGATATAGTAAGTTTTTAAAATCTGGTGTGTGCATTTTATCCTTAGAGCATTAGCCACATTTGAACTGCTTAGTAGCCACTGGCTGGTGGTTACTGTCTAGGAGATGCAGGATTGGAAGATAAGCGCAAGCTTTTAAAACAAGTGGCTTACCCAGCTGGAACTTGAACTCAGGTTTCCTGACTCAGTATCCTGGAAAAAAGGCAGACTAAGAGGTGAGGGGGTGGGGGAAATCTCCTATCTGCCCTTTTCTTTCAGCCCAATCTGGACGAGGAGGAAATGGATGATCCCGGGGATTCAGGTAAGAGATTGTGCACTTTTGCTCTTGCTCCATCTGCCCATCTCACTCTGCACCCAGATATTTCTGGCCTGGGCATTTCTGCTGTTTCCAGATGGGGAGGCCCAGGACCAGGGTGAGGCTGATGTTGAAGGCACTGCATCTCGGAAAAAGGCAATTGCCACCCTGAAGGTGACTGAATGTTGGGAGACAGGAATCTCTTTGGATTCTGGATGTCGAGCTGTCACTGAAACCCCTGTCTTTCAGATCTACAGCAGCTCCCTGGAGGAAGAGTTTAACCACTTTGAAGACTGGCTGAATGTGTTTCCCCTCTACCGAGGGCAAGGGGGACAGGGTGGGGATGGAGAGGAAGAAGGGTCTGCATACTTCATGGGCAAGTTCAAAGTATGTTTGGGGAAGGAAAAGAAGGCCAGAGAGCACAGGCAGGGATTCAGGAGGAAAAGTCTTACTACAGCCTTTTCTGCCTTCCACCACTCCAGGGTTCCTTCCTCATTTACCCTGAGTCAGAGGCAGCATCCTTTTCTGAGCCCCAGATCTCTCGCGGGATCCCACAGAACCGACCCATTAAGCTTCTGGTCAGAGTGTATGTTGTAAAGGTGAGTGTCGTGCTGTCATATCTCCAACAGCAGCAAAGGTGATGAGCATAAAATCTATGGAATGAGACTTTGGAAGACACGGCAGGGGTTAAAGTCCAACTTTCTCATTTTTCAGATGGGAAATCTTAGACACAAAGTTAGGAGACTTAGGATTACAATGCTTGGTGACAGCAGAGCTAGAATTTAGAGTAGGACTCTGACCCCTTGGTCACTAGTCTGCTCCAGCAGAATGGGGAATGTAGCTCTGTGGATCTCAGGCTTCAGAATGGCTCACTGCCCAACACCTTGGGATGTTCTTCCATTGCTAGTTTCCATGCAGAGATCAGCAGGGACGTGAAGTTTTCTTGAAAGTATCTCAGGGAGTAACGGGACTGAGTGGATTTCTCTGGCCCTTCACTCCTTGTCTCCAGAACAGATGGTAGACTTCTTTCTCGTTTAAATATAGGAATTCTGAGACATCATTTGAAGAAATGTTCTATGGTGTCATCTTATCATAATCCTGGGATATCTCTTGGTAATAGAAGTCATCTTGACCTTTTGTATCTAGCAGACTGCTAGACTAGATGGTCTGGGATAAATTCTTTTTGTAATACGTCTAAAGATGCTAAGCAAACTGTCTTTTTTTTTTTTTTTTTTTGGTACCAGGGATTGAACTTGGGTCCTTGCGCTTGCAAGACAGGCAGCAGAACCATTGAGCTAAATCCCTGGCCAGTAATCTGGCCTTTTAAATGAATGCTAAGTTTATGTTGAGGTCCTAACATGCTGAGGCCCTAGGTTCAATCCTTAGCACAACTAAGAAAAGAAAAGAGGAAGGAAGGGGCAAGGTATGCCTATAAGTCCAGCATTCATGAGGCTGAGGCAAGAGGATCACCATGAGTTTGAGGCCAGCCTAGGCTACCTAGTGAGTTCAAGGCCAGCCTGAACTACATAGTGAGACCTTGTCTTCAAGACAGAGCCAGAGCGACAGACAGAGACAAACTGTATGAATGATGAGCTCATAAGAAAGGGAAAATCTTAGCCTTCCCCATACAAAGAGGTAGCAGAAATCCTCAGGAATCCTGAGCCCTGAAGCTCAGGTTGTCTTGAGCTGGAACCAAGATTCCCCAATGAAGTAAGACCTCAGTGGGCAAGAGAATGGAGAGTAAACAGCCTGGCCCAGCCTTTCATGGTGAGGGAAATAGAAAAAAAAGTCTTAAAAAATTTTTTTTATTGATACACTTTTTTTTTTCTTGGTACCGGGGATCAAACTCGGTTTCTTGTGCTTGCCAGGCAGGCGGCAGAACCACTGAGCTAAGCCCCCAACCCACCACCTTAACCTAGAAAACTCAAAACTGAGAAGCTGGCTCAAAGTAATCCCAAGTCCAGTCTCACAGTTTCCATAGATTTAAGGTAAAAAATAGCAAAATGCAAAAGAATGTATAATATTCTACCTCCCTGTTAAGAAAGAAGATATAAGAAAGTATATGAGCAACAGAAGTACGAGAAGGATTAACGAGAAGCTCAGTGGTTCTGCCATCTGCCTCATAAACACAAGGTCCCAGCAGCAGCAGCTCAGAGACTGGTTCCTAAAAGAGAGAGTAGCAAAGAAGTGGAAAGAAAGAAGATTAGAGTAGCAGGAATTAAGACACAGTGACACTTCTCAGAGCACATATGCTCCTTGGCTTACAAGGAGCTCCATTTGTACTGATACAGGCACTGCAATTCGAAAGCATTGTAATTCCATTTAAACGACCTAATCTACCCAATATCACAGTCTAGCAGCACTGCAGAGTGTTGGCTGTGTCCTCTCATGCATGGTGGCTTTCAGGGACTTCTGGCTTCACAGGAGAAAGATCTGAAGATTATCCCAGAAAAAGGTCAAAATCCAAAATTTGATGTATGTTTTTCTACTAAATGCATATGGCTTTCATGCCATTATAAGGTTAAAAAATTGTAAGTCAAACCTTACCTTAAGGTTAGAGATTGTCAAATATAGGAGGAGACAAAGGAGTTATCCTGGTGGCTTCCCAAGGGAGATAGCACTCCAGGCAGAGAAAGCCAGCCTGAAAGTGACTAGTGTGTGTGAGGAATGACAAGAACAGCAGAAGCGGGGAGAGGAGGGTTTTTTTTGAGACAGGGTCTCACTACATAGTTCAGACTGGCCTTGAACTCACTATGTAGCCCAGGCTGACCTTGAACTCTCAGTGGTCCTCCTGCCTCAGCCTCCTGAGGAAGAGAGGGTTTTAGGAGTTAAATTTTCAGAGGAAATATAACAGCAATGGGCAGAGAGGACAGATCATGTTAGGTCTTGTTTTTTGGTCATTTTATCCAGAACTAAGCAGGAAGCCATCAGCAGGTTCTAAGTAAAGGAGTGGCAGGATGTAAGTTAAATTTTAAGAGACTTTATTTTTTGGTGTGTAGAGAACAGGCAAGAGCAGGGTAGGGGCACTGATTATGAAGCCACCACAAGATCTTGGGGAGAAAGAATGGTGGCTCGAACCAAGGTAGCAGCAATGGAGGTGGTGGTCAGGGGTTAAGACTGGAAATATCTTCGAGGTGAAGCTGACAGATTGAAACAGAAGAGCTGTGAGTCGTGTGAATGTAGAAGGAAAGAGAAGGCTGATTCACAGGTTTTGGCGCCAGTACCTGGAAGTTCAGATAAGGGCACTTTAATTGATAAGGAGAAGTCTTTGGGTGGAGTAGGTTTGGGATGGAGGTGGCTCGAGATCTGTTTGATCATAAGTGATTTTTTTTTTTGTTACTGGGGATTAATTCTGGCTTTCCATT